GATACAAGCTTTACAGCAGTTGTATAGATGAATTATATCACAACTGGGATCTGAACGTAGTGTGGAGGTAGGGGAAAAAACACAATCTTTCAAAAGAAACGGTCACAAGTAATCCCACCATTTAATCCATCAGAAACATAGTGACAATGGTCTTTCTAGATACTTACTGTTACATTTCAAACTGAACAGACTGTAAACTCTCCGTACGATATCTACTGATTGTTCTGAGCATGCAGGAATTAAGTTTGTCTCCAGGTGATCTTCATTAAAGACAACACATTTACAGCTCATTCATGTGATTCATAACCAAATTCAGTCTGACCTACTACACCACTAAACTAACAGGCAGGGGTGAAAAACATCACACCTCTTTGTAAGTAAAGCCCAGGTGACCAACCGTTAATTATATTTATCCAATTCATTTGAATACAATTAAAATAATATAGCTGGGCTGAGACTGTCTTTCAGCAATCACACAGCCTCGGTTGGATACCACTTCCAATAGGGACTTATCCTGCACTGTCAGAGAAGTTTGAAATGTATTTTTTTTAGGGAGCTGGGTCTTCTTGCAGTGGGCCGTAGCTTTCCGGAATGCATTGCTGAAGGTGCCAAAATGAGGAAATACAGACAGCTTTAATGTCCCCTGTACCCTGTTTCTGCCTCACAATCCGTCTTAGTTTGGTAACTATTTATCTAAGATTTTGTGGGTTTCTTTTAAGTCAGGTGGGACAGTGTGTCAGGACTTCAAAACCAACTCTCTTTTCAACTGGCTGAAGGTAAGGATCTGTTGAAGCCACACACTCTCAAAAAAAAAAAAAAAAAATCCAGAAACCACTGTTCCCGTTTTTCCTACTTCAGATAAGTTTGACCACTTCTCTCAATTCAACTTACCCATAAGCAGCAGCAGCGGCTCTGGCTGCTGGAAGCCTAGGGAGATAGTCTTTTCACCAGTCAACTTTCTTCCTCATCTGTTTTTATTTTGTCTTTCCCTTCCCCATGCCACTCTGAAGAGACCTGGGTGTAATGCTAGCAGCCTTTGCTTGTCAGATCTGCAACTTGCCGAAAATCTGCCAGTCTGCTAGCCACTGACTACTATGCCAACCTTTTCCCCTGCACAGCCCTGCACTGGGCACTATGAGAAAACACTGCAGGAGTTACAACTAATGTTTTAAATGATCTATTATGAGGCAGCACACCACTACTGTCCCAAAGGATGCAAATAGATGTCTCACACGTACTGCCCAATGCTCAGTGTGTGGAAAACACTTAATGCTGAGCAGCAGCTGCTGCTTGATCAAATTCATTTGATGCAGACAGCGGGCACTGCCTGCCTGCCTGCCCCTCCAGCACCCTGCTTAGAGCAAGATGATGTGCATCAGTCTACCCATACGGTGGTTGCTATATAATGCAAATTATTTTGATTGCTCAGGCGTGCAAGTGACTGAAATAGCAAATTCCAGCAAAGACTATTGCTAGTGAGTAAGCAGCCAGGTTGGAGCTTTGCATTCAGGGAGCTGGCAAGCTTTCTGTATTTGTATGTTGCCACCTCACTAGTTTTACGTTTGCTCATATACACAAAAAACTGTTCATGCCTAGCAGATAAATTACATTCATTTTGTTTTTCCAAATCTGCCTGAAGCTACGAATTCATGAGCAACATAAGAAAAAAAAAAAAGTGGTTTGTATGTTAATGCATATCTTTCAATTTACCTGCCAAATGCCCAAGTTCTAATATGCAGGCAATCCTTAGCTAATTAATTTCTTAAGTTCATGCATATGTTTCTTCCTTACCTATACCTGATCCTCCTTTTCTGGGTAGCACACACACAACAAACAACAATTTTAGAAAGTCCTGTGGTTGTTCTGCTGGCACAGACGTTTTACTTACTTGTTGCCATGTTAGTCTCAGCCGTTCAAATTGCTCCTTCCCATCTTCTGAGCAATCGGAGCAAGTAAATCTGAAAAAGTTATCTCCTTTGAGGTAGCTGAGCTGCTCTCTCAGTTGACCTAAAATGAATAGGTAAAAATCAATTTCTTGGTCCTTTTATAGGAAAAATGCTGCAAAGGAGATTTGGATTTCCTACAACATCAGACAGAAATGTATTTTTTGCCTTTTTCTCAGAGTCCAGAGACCCAGTCAGTTCCCAAGAAGCATCAGAACTCGCTGTGATGGAAGGCGCAGATTCATTTCACAGTTGCAGCAGCCAGCAGTGACAAACTAAAAAGCACAGGCATAAAAAGGGGGTGTACTACTTAACATCTGAAGGCAGGTGCAAAGCCAGGGATTTCCTTGTTTCACTGCATTTCTCATTCCTTCTTGCTTCCCCAGGATAACCTATATACTTCAATAAATAACTGTGTTCCCACCCTAATTAAAAAAAAAAAAAAAGCTGACCTCTTAAAAAAGGCATGCCACTGCAAAGGCTATCAGAATATTCAAGCTTTCTTTTCCGTGTCAACTTTCCACTCGCTGCTACATGTCTTTACATCTCCCTCTTTCC